ATAATATTTTACAGGTTGATGAGGCTTACAATGTTTCAAGAAGACAAGGGATCATGGATGATCATGTTTTTAACGACCATCACCTTCCTTTACATTTTATCTATCATATTTAATGCGTTTATTGGTCTGGGTGGCAGTTCAGTAGCCGAGTATAAAGTTACGAGTTTTCTTGGGTTTGTGAATAAGACTTTTATGAAGGCAGCAGGACTGGGCACATGGATGGGTGATTTTGTGACCGCCTGGATGGTGACTGATATGATGCTTCAGGTACAGGATACTGAGCTATTTTATAAATTGTAATTAGTATATATAATACTACTTGGAGGTATTTATCGATATTTTCTGTTGGCTCTCGCAGGACAAACTCTATCCACGCTGGAACAAGAGACTTCGCAAATGGTGGAGAACAGGCTGGAACCGTATCATCATGTTTTGGGTTGTGCTCTTCGTTACCACGGTGATAGTTACCACAGCAATCACTACTGATTATCTGAAATGGGATTATCTGAACCATGACTTCGTAGCAACGAACGAACTTTCAAGAGCATTATTGGCCTCTTTTATCTTGATTTGTGACTTATCCATTGTTATGCAGGTACAGTACGTACTAAATGTAACAAGGTCCCTTCCTTCAATTACTGACATAAATTTGCTTTCTGCCGTAGGATTGGGAATTTCCACTTTTTCGTGGTTCACTAGACATCAAGCTGCCAGGTATCAATGTAGCGTCTATTCGCCTTTCACTTCCACGGTTTCTTAATCGCGAAAATTGGTCGGTACACATCACAGGCAAGTGGTTTAACTATGGCATAATTATGCTTGTTATCATCCTTGATCTTAACATGTGGAAAAATCAGATCTTTTATTCACCATATGACTTTGGTCAATACACCAACTCAGAAGGTAATATATTTACTATAGAAGACAGATCTTTCCTTGCGGTTGCAAACAAGACAATGGTGAGTTGGGAATGGCGCAATAGTCACATGACAACTTCAAATCAATCGTTTGCTTCCATCGACCCCAAGATGAATTCCAAATACCTTGGTTTTTCCCTGGGCGTGAAGGCCATTGCCTTCATCCCGTCCATCGCCGCCTTTATTATCTTTGGATTATTAATTTGGTTTTATGGACGAGAAGAGTTTGTGGTCGAGAGAATTGTTGTGGACGGAGCACCAATAGAGGGAATCGTGGTGGAATCAGAACTCATTCATACAAATACAAATGAACCCACTGAAACTAAAGACCTGTTTAAGCAAAAGAAATATGAAGCTGCTTTGGAAGAAGATGGGCCTTCTCCTGCTAGACTAATAAAAATAACATATGTATAGAAGTATGTAAATGATATCTTCCTGACAGATGAATCAAACCTCGGGTGTAGCCAATTATGCACCGTTTTTTATAAAATATAGCATGAGGCGGGGTCTTTGGCCTCGAGGTCTGTTGCAAGGAAAAGAGGTTTTTCAAATGAGGCCTTCAGTGCGAGTAACATTTTCATGATTATTGCATGTATAATGTTGAACTGTTAAAAAGACTTGATTCGCGTCAGTGTCGTCGCAAATATTGGCTTATAGCACTCTTATAGCACTTAAAAGAGGTTTGGATGTCACGCTACATATGGCGTTACCTCTCACAGCATGACATCTGGGATATTGCTCGCAGCTGTACCTCAGATAGTGAAATGGGAAAACTAAACATTACGTACGCCACAAACAATAAACAAACTTCTTTTTATTAGAATAAGATTTTTCTAGCAATATTTCCTTTCACACGGATGCAACTTGTGTGCCTTCTGAAGAATATTTTAACCGAGCGTGTTCCATGGATTGACGAAACTGAAGGTCTGATGCCTACCCGACACACAGTCGCATAGTTATACATTGCTTGCCGCTAATACCCATATAATTACTTTCTTGCTTATTTAAACAAGCCGGGTGTAAGGTGCTTACGCCAGTCAAGGTGTAAACATGTGTTATTTCTAGTGCCGGGTGTTAAAAAGCAATAACATTAAAGATCAGTGAGTCGTTAGTGAACTGAATTTGTGTTTCCCACCTGCTCCCTATTTCCCTTACGTCAGTGATTTGAGGGAGGGAAATTATTCATTTTTCAATACGATGAAAACAAACTATGAGTCAACGAGAGTATAGCAAAAAAAACCCCAGTAGACTGGAAGGTTTTTCTAATAACTATTTAAATAACTCTAAGTTAATTCATGCTAATATTTGATTCGATCTTTTTTGACTAGAAATTCCCTTTTTACAAACAAATCTGTATTCTTATTTGGCTTCAAGTCTCCTAATTTTCGTTTAAAATATGCGAATGTTTGGTGGTGGTCGGTATCCTTTTTTAAGACAAACCCTTTGCAATAAGGCCCAATACGATCACAAAAGAGTTCGAAGTCACTCATCTTTTTCCGCTGAATGAGGCAAGAACCTCTGGCCAATGAATCTGCGCAGGGAAAATCTCCTTCTCTTGGTAAATCCATTCCACTGAACTTGATGTAGGACTCTGATTGGTTTTCAGTAAATATTTGTGTTTTGCCCAGTGGAATAACTGGGTTCTGAGGGATGTGAGAGAGATCTTGAGTCACTTGGTCTAATGGTAAGGTTGAGATTTGCGGTGACTGAGTAGGAGTGAAGTTTTCACGATGGACGTCCGTATTAGATGACTGTAGTTCTGTAGCCAAATGATTGTTGATGTCTTGTCCAAGTTTCAAAACGAAAATATAAGACGCAGCAAGAAGAGCAAGGAAACCGACAACGAAATTCTTTCGTGTCAGATAATTCATGATGTTATTTGATTCAGGTATATTAATATTCCATACTACTTTGGTTTAAAGTGAAAAACTAACTACAGTCATTCTAACTTCTTATAGGATATTTTAATTTGGTTTGATCTCTCATCCCATCTCGACGTGCTGTGATTCAAATTAATTAGTTGGCTAATACTCCAAACTCCTCCAATTGGCGTGTAGGTGAATTGTTATTTGAGTCACATAACAGGTGGATATAGTGACGTCAAGACGCCGTCCTATTTATTACTCGAATCTAGAAATTTAACCAAATTCAGATGAATGACGACAGAAATTAAAATACCATATTTGCGCGTTATTACGTTATCTTCTTGCATCTAGTTGTATTTCGTCAGATGGTGTATAGAGTCCCTAGGTCGGGTAGTTCCATTTATTAGATAACTGTTATTATTATATAATTACCAATGAAATATCTATTTTTCTCTATTTCGAAAAATTGATATCTTCACACATGAAAATAACACGTTATTTTCACGTGTGAAAATAACACCATTGCGATGGCTATTCAAAAATACACGGAAAGAATTGCCCGAAAAAGCCAAAACATACTTCATTGATAATTATATAATAAACAGAATATTACATGGCCGCTTGGAGATACGAAATTTATCTTCTCGTGTTGAAAATCTCTCACTCGTTCGCTGCGCTCACTCGTGAGAGATCTTTTCAACACTCGAAGATAAAATTCGTATCTCCGCGCGCTCATGTAATATCCTCTATTTATTTGAAATGCCACGCATTTTTACGAACTAAAATTTGCTATCAATTAAAAGTACACAAATTGTTTGTGTTCTAATAGGCGGCAATATATCAGAGGTTTAGGAGATCCCTAACGATCTATATGCGGTTATAAACTCGTTAACCACCTTATTTGATGGTCAAATGAAATCGCTCTCTTGGCGCATCCATCAAAACCACAATAAAATCTAATTTGTGGTGTTAAATCAATTTGAAGACCTAAAATACTATTGGTAATTTGTAAGAATTCTAAACCATTACTGCATACTGATGGTACGCTCTTTGTTCAAAAGTAAATATTCTCATAGTTCAAGTGCTTACATGCCGCATGTGTTCTACGTCTAACGGAACGAGTGAAGGACAGATCATTCGATACTGAAGAACACACTGTGTGTGTCATGGCTTCCCTTCAAAAGAGGACGGAAGGCATTGATGATCGACTGCTTTCAGTTATGGTAAGATCGATCATTTACTGCTTGTACACTACTGCCGGGCTATGTACATTGGTATCTTTATCGTTATCAGCATCTATCATATATGTTGCATAATATCATAATCAGACTATCAGCGCTGAAAAAAAAGTTAGCTTCGTTTGCCGTTCCAATAAAAGAATGAAATAAAATAAAGTATTTTTTAAAAACCAAGAACCAAGATTGTAGTGAGTTAAATTCGCGTAGCGTTCGCCTGATTTTCGCCTTTTAGGCTCCTAAGCAGTTGTTTTATTGAGATTATTATGAACCTAATGTAGGAGGAAAAAACCTTTTCAATCTGATTTGAACTGATTTGCCGGTTGCCAAGACCCCAGCTGAATGTAGCTGCTTTGCTTTACTGTGCCGGTTATTTTAGTTTTGCTTTGTTCTAGTATCTTATAGTATTTCAGTCAAAACAACATGCATAATGAAGAGCCAGGCCAGGCTAGTGAAAGACTTTGCCGTATAATTTATTCATTAGTGCAAAGCATCATGGGTTATGTATAAACTAGACGATACTGTGATTTGTGGATTTGTAACGATCACTAAGTAGTATTCTTGTTATCTCGTTATTTATTAGTAAATTCAACACCTCGCGCCTTCAGTGTATTTCATCAACAATATTCAAACACATCGCACTGATTGTTCAATAGCTGTCAGAGTATATGAATAATTCTATTCAAAAGAACTCAATCCTGTTCACAATATGCATGAACATGATCATTGTAAATATTAATTATTATTACTCTGAACAATTTTGCAAGATATATTATTGCTAACATCCAAGTGATAGTTGGTTATCTCTGGACCCTCTCTGGCTATGGTAAGATATCTAGTTGCTATAAGTAAGATATGTACGAAGGCTGAACGATTGATTGGTTGAGAGGAAAACGTTTTAAATTAAAAATATCGATAAACGGAAGTTTCTGCGACGCCTCCAAAAACAAACCTTTCATTCGCATTTTGAAAACTATTCTCTTCTAAAAAATAATTAAAAAAGGTAGAATTGAATGGATTGGCTCAGCGCGATGATGTTGGCTGATTACTTTGTACATAGAGCCAACAAACTTATCCTCGAATTAGCATATGACATTTGAGCTCCGGAAGAAAAATATGGAAATGCGGATGAGACACAAAACATCTTTGCGAAAATGATCGGTAAAAGTAAAGCCACGAAGGTCGGCTGGTTTGATTTGTGAATCGGGAGAAATGTTTATATACCTTTATGGATCACTAGGATTTATACAAGATGAATGAAACCTTGTTACTATTCTGATTTCAAAGCGTCTTTTCAGATCTGTTTGCCGCATAAACAGGTGAACTAAATTGTAAGGCTGAGAGATCGATGAGCCGTCCGTCTATCAAGATGGATTTCGAGGTATAGATCAGTAGTTATTTATCTCATTATTAAGTGTTACTGTATAATATAGAATCACCAAGGACGAAAATTAACCCATATGTTTTGTGCTTGTATTTGATACGTCATCATAATTTAGTTATGAAGAATCGCTTGTAGGTAGTCAGTCAGTAAGTGATGCATGAAACTGAAGTCCAATGAATTGTACGATTAGTGCCTAAAGCTGATCAGTTGATATATATGTGGTCGATACTGATGTAAGTTAACCGGGATCCACAGATCCTGAAGATTGAATATAATATACACACCTAGCAGAGAGAAATATATAATTTTCTGTAGTTTGTCTTAATGTGATGTAATTGAATTTGTTGTGATTGCCTTTTTACAAACAAATTGATGCTTAGTATAGATAAATACATATATTGCAAAAACTCAAATCATTCGTGGTGGACCGTAACACGTCACGGTAAGATGAAAAGTAAATAACAGCGGTAAATACAACTGTCTACATAACACCAGCTGATTAGCGCACTATATATATATATATATATACGCGTGTAATATCTCGAATATATATATTTATAAAATATTTGAGATTTAACGCGCGCGCTAATTGGCTGGCTACCGTGTATATATCAGAGAACAGAGACACGCTCACGCGAAATCATTTTAAAATATTTTACAAAAGCGATATAAAACGTCCGCTTGTGTCTATATACTGTGATATAAACACGATGGAAGCTGTAGAGCATTCGAGAAGTCAAAGAAACACTCGGCTACGCCTCGTGATTCTCTACGACTTCTCTCTTGCTCTACAGCTCCCATCGTGTTTATATCACAGTATATAGACACGCGCGCCGTTTTATATTCCTTAAATATATACACTCGCAGGAACATTGTAATATACATTTATACATATAGACAAACAACTGATTAGATGTAAAAACTTGAATGAAATGAATAACTCTTTACCCGGTCCTTCATATTAAAATAATAAAAATTTTTCGAGATGTTGTATCCGTGAAGAATATCAAAAAATGTGATTTGAGCGCAATGAGATAGTATTAAATATATATTAGAGAAATGTTAGGCTAAAAAAGTGAAAATATATCAATAAATATATTTAATTAATATCCGATACATAAAAACCTTAGGGATTTGACGTATCTAACATAAAAGTAGGGCATAAAAGTATTTTTCTTAACTTTCAATATATACACGATCATATTTTAGGAGTCATCTCATTAGATAGTTGTATATATACATAAATGTATACTACAACCTTTTTGCAATCGAGTATATATATACATATATTGACTATATATACTTTATATACACTATATGTAATATTTCAAAGCCGACAATGAGGACTGGACGGGATTTCAAGTCTAAGCGTGAAGCAATTAGCGCATTCTGATTGGTCCAAACACATGAAAAACTACTAGAGAAGAGAAACACGGCGCGTGTCTATCTGTGATATTAACACGCTGGGAGCTGTAGAACAAAAGAGAAGTAGAGAGAAACAGGCGTGTCTGTATACTGTGATATTAACACGTTGGGAGCTGTAGAACAAGAGAGAAGTAGAGAGAAACAGGCGTGTCTGTATACTGTGATATTAACACGCTGGGAGCTGTAGAACAAGAGAGAAACAGGCGTGTCTGTATATTGTGATATTAACACGCTGGGAGCTGTAGAACAAGAGAGAAGTAGAGAGAAACAGGCGTGTCTGTATATTNGTGTCTGTATATTGTGATATTAACACGCTGGGAGCTGTAGAACAAGAGAGAAGTAGAGAGAAACAGGCGTGTCTGTATATTGTGATATTAACACGATGGGAGCTGTAAGCTCTTTATGTATAGGGGATACCCTATGGGGAACAGGTCTGTATAGCAAATGCTTGACTCACATTTAAAACTTTGTTTTATTTCTAACCTTAGAACAAACTGACGGAGGAGCAAATAAAAGGTAAGATACTCAAAATATTCAGTGTCACTAGGGGGGGGGGGGGGGGGGGGGGGGGGGGGGGAGTGAAAAGTGTAGTATACTGTGTCTATGATTTACTATGTTATATACTGTAGTATCATATTATGAATAAGACACTATTATCCAAATTAGTTTTTTATTTTTATTTTGTTGATTCACAGAATACGAGGATGCATTTAACTTTTTTGATAAAGATAAAAATGGTTACATAACTACGAGAGAACTTGGCGCCATAATGCGATCTCTTGGACAAAATCCTACAGAAGTTGAGCTCCAAGAGATGGTGAACGAAGTAGATTATGATGGTAAGTGCATGTGATGATGATGATGACTTCATTGGTGGTATATTGACTACGTGCAATTATTTCTCGATAGGCAATGGGGTTGTGGACTTCCATGAATTCGTTAATATGATGATTAATCAAAACAATAACACGCTAGACCAGGAGGAACTACTAGAGGCATTTCGCACTTTTGACGGAGATGACAAGGGCTACATATTTACCAGTGAAATACGTTACGTTTTACGTCATATGGGGGAAAATATATCAGAACAAGTTATCAATGATATTCTTAAAGACTCAAATCATGGTAAAAAAAGAAAAGTTACATTTGAAGGTAATTACTCATCCTAACTGACCCTTATTCAAGCTCTACTTACATCATATATATCAGAACAAGTTATCAATGATATTCTTAAAGACTCAAATCATGGTAAAAAAAGAAAAGTTACATTTGAAGGTAATTACTCATCCTAACTGACCCTTATTCAAGCTCAACTTACATCATATATATTTTTTCCTTTTCAGAGTTTGAAAAAATGGTTAAGCCTGAACTCTAGACCGACGATCATCTCATAGGAAATGGTTTTAAGAATGATTATATTTGTTATTCCAGCATGGATGGTTCTTACCTACGCGAGAGTCAAATCGAAAATTTCTATTTGTTTTTTTTTAAGTCATGCCTCACACATACTATCATAGTGTTATAAGTGTTGAAGATAAAATGGGGTTAAAATGACCTGTCGTCTTTACACTTAGCAGCACCGACAATCAGCACCAAGAAAAACTAAAGATGCAAAAAATGACGGATTTACTCAAATGACACGGAGCATGAAAATAACAGATATTAATATAAGCGTTTCCTGCTATTTATGCAATTTGTGGTATTACAGAGTATTATAATGTGTCAGGCTTGGCGTTTGATGCCTTCACACTGCATGTCTTTAGCGGTAGGGTTTGTTTTTCGTAACAATTGTCAATTACAAATCATAGTAAAATGTAACATTGAAACCATTAACAATTGCTGGTTAAAATGGCCGACTTATTTTGGGGAAATTTTTCAAAAATAACATGAAATAAAAACAAATTTGAAGAGGTGAAGGCTTAAATCTGTTTTTATCACCAGAAAATAATGACGTTCGAGGAATATCATTTGCCTAATTTTTCGCAAGTGGTGCTCTAAGATATTCTAACTTAAAAATGCGATAAAATGTGATGGTCATCATTCTTTATTTCGAGATTTTGTAACATTCCATAATGACACTTTTCTAAGGGAAGACTGAGGTTTGTTTTCCAAAAATCACAGTTTTTCAGCTCATAAAAAAGAAAAAAGTTTCGGTCGGTCTACGTTATTGTATTGAAGGTAACGCTACTTGGCACGCATGGTTCAGCGATAAATATTCATAGGGTACAGCTATTCAAAATAGAATGACCGTTGGTAGTATAGGACGTTCATGACCGAAAATACGGATAAGAAAACTCTAAATAGCATGTATTGCTTCAATTCGAAATATATGAATACTCGTTCTCTTTAGCGAACTGCGGACCCAGTAGACTACAGGTGCTATTCATTTTTAGGAGGTGCCTTAAGAAGTGGGCGGGTATTCTCTACTCGCTCCTCACAAGGTATCCTGAGCTCATGTTAATTGTATCAATTGATAAAACTCAAATATCCTCTTGTTTATTGTATAATGTCATTTGTCCTCAGCTAAAATGAGATTTTTTTGCCCTTGATTTTAGGAGGCTTTAAATTAAATACAATAGCATATCTAGACTTTTGGGAATCTAGAGAAGTGCAGTGGTAGTGGACTTGCCTCTCACCACTTAGGTCTCAGGTACCAAAATAAATTGCCAGTAAAATTTGTTAGATCTCTCCCAAGGTTTTCTCAAGGTTCTGTGGCTTTCTCCCTTCTGCAAAACCTAACATTTAGCCATTCCCTGACTTAGATCAGCCCAGAGGTTGTTTCCGTAAGTTGTGCCCATACCCCAACAAACTAACTTATTGAATGTAAATACTCACTAGCTGATCAATATCTTCTCTTGATAAAACAAATGATACATTTTGGTTTCTGTGCAACAGCAGATAGAGTAACAATGTAGCTTGATCATGTTGAAGACCACTGGAGGAGCAAAGTCACAGTTAATGAATGTTAACAGAAAATATTGGCAAAATACCAGTAACTG